GGGGGCGTGGGCGGCTCGGGGGGGGGGGGCTCTCCCCGCCTGCCGCTTGCCCCCTTCTGCCTGGAGTGAGCTGTGCCCACATCCCGTCCCACCAGCTGGGCAAGCAGCAGCAGGGCAGAGCCCCCACTCCCAGTGCTGCCATGCGTGCATCCCATGCCCCTCCACCCCACTCCTTGAGTAATGTGCCCTCCTGCCACAGCTGGGCAGCTTGTCCCAGCCCCAGCCCCAGCCCCCATCCCTCCCTCCCCGCTCCCCCCATCCCATCAGATTTACCAGCTGGAGGCTGGTCAGCTGCCTGTTTAGTCTATGGCTGAATCTCCAAAGTGGCTGAATCTTTTCCAAATCGATTTGGATGCTTCAAATCAATTCGGAGCTTTTCATTGGTCTCCTGATTTGATTTGGATTTGACAATTTGGTCCCTGAATTGGGCCAAATCTCCTCCGAATTGAATCAGCTACCAAAGGTTTGCACAGCCCCAATAGCTAGCTCTCCTGGATCCCTTTCCCCTTAAGACTTGCCTCCAGGGGATCCTGTCCACCAGTCCCCCGAGTTTGTTAAAAGTCTTTTTTCCCCCTGAAGTCCAGTGTCTATTTTGTTTCTTTCCTTCCTCTCTTAGGATCTTGAACTCTATCATTTTGTGTTCATTGCCCCCCTTACATTCCACCTTCACATTCTCAACCAATTCCTCCCTTTTTGTGAGCAGCAAATGGAGACCCCTCACCCCCACCTCCGACTTGACTTCTATCATCTGTATCAGAGTTATCCCCAACACACTCCAAGAATTTGCACTGCTGTTTTTCTCCCAGCAGGTATCCCAATAATTAAGGTTCCCCACAAGAACCAGCTCCTGTGATTTAGAAGCTTCCAACAGTTGTATAAAGAAGGCCTCCTCCACCTGATCCCATGGCCTTTCCCAAGAATTGTCTTGCTATCCATTTAGTGGCCTCTTTAACTGAGGGAAGCTTAGTTTTCTGGTGGGCCAAGGCCCGCCACCTCTGTACAGCAAACCGTGGAAGTGAAACCTCACAGAATGATTTGTGATTTCAGTACTGTCAAGTCCAAACCCTAGATTTACCATCTCTGGTATCTGGCCTCAAAATTTACAGTTGCTGAAAAGAAGATTTTTCTTATTATACGCAATCATGTATGGCCTCTTTTATAGTTTGATGACAGGCTGTCTTTTAGGAACGCGCATGTATGTGTAGCTTACAGAGATTTTTATTCAGTAGAAAACGTACATAAATAATTTTACAAATGTCAGTCCCACCAACACCAACATGCTGTAACTCAACAAACGGCCCATGTAGATGGTCATTGCTGCTAGAGACGACCCATACAAGTATTCCATAGTCCACGTTTTGTATCAAATGCTACTCTGCTCAGTGAAAAAAAGGAGAGACTAGGCGTGAGCCTGCACATAGTGACCGTGATTCGCCAAGTGAAGAGAAAGAAAACTCTCAACGCTTCCCCCCTTTGTCTGCGATGACACACCCCTCAGAGGTGCCAGCCCCTGCCTGGCAAGGAATCCCACTCAGGGAAGGGGAAGAGTTGTGAACATTCGCCTGCTGGGAGTCAGCGTCTTTCTTACTCCAAGGTCTTCCGCCGTCTGCAACGGTAAGACATGCAACAGCAGAAGAAGCCCCAGGAACAGCCAAAAAAAAAAGGCCGCTTGTACACGTGACAGGGCTTTAATCCCCCTAAACTGAAACGGTGGGGTTTTAATTGTGACAATTAAAAACCCGCTGGTTTCAATTTCGGGGTTTCTGCCCCTGTTATGGTGAGGGGCCCGATCCTTTTCTTTTTGTTTTGTTGCTGCGGAGCCTGCCCCCGTTTCCCGCTCCCTCCCTCCCTCCGTGGCGGCGGTGCGCGAGCGGGGGCTGGCTGCGCCCGCCGGGCCCAGCTCTCCCGGCCTGCTTTGTTCCCCCGGGCGCATCCCGCTCCCAGGCCGAGCTGCCTGGGGCCTGCCAGCCTCCCGCTCCGCCTCAGGGCCGGGCTAGGATGGGATGCGATGGGATGGATGAGTCCCGGTAACTGCGGGGGGCCGGGAGCAGCTCCCTCCACCCCCTGGCGGCCGGGCCGGACTACAGTTCCCGGCGGGCCCCGCTCCGCACTGCGCGGCCAGTGGCGCCGGGCGCCGCGGGATGGAGGGAGG